TGGCCGAGTCACCTAGCAGCACTGGTCTTAAGGACAAAAAGAATTTCATATATGGTGGTGTTGGTGGCTTTGCTGGGATGGGAGGCTACGCTGGTATCATTGGTGGACTGCCAATTATTGGTGGCCTTGGTGGACTTGGGAATTATGGAGGGGTTGGAGGGGTTGGTGGAATAGGAGGTGTTACTGGCACTGGTGGTCTTGGTGGTTTAGGAGGTTTGGGTGGCGGTGCAGGTGGTTCGACTCCACCATTGCCTTAAGTCAATAATTAGCTTCGTGTTCTTTCTTGCTTTGTTTGGTGTTTTAGGGAACTGTCTGAGACAGGTCGTTGTACTTAGTACTAGTTATAATTAGTCGCTGTCCTTATCAAATAGTTGTCTCCTTGGAGACATCTTATGTTTTGTGCTGTTGTCACTGAAAAAAAAGATGTTTTGTGTTGTTATCTCATGTTTCAATGCTAATTGTAGTAACGTCCTTCGTATTGTTCGCAAAAAACTGCATTTTTGTCTCAGCTGGAAACTATCATGCACAAACAATTGCTTCTCTTGTTTTAATTATTTGTGATCTGTAGTAGAAAACAAATTAAGCCAGAAGCCCAAGCATGCATGTCAGTTTCTGGCGTTTAGAATATGATCCTTTCAGGCACTACTGATTTTTGCTTCCATGATCAAAATATATGTATTAAGTTTTGTGGATGTAGCATTATAGGGACCATAATAACAAATAGTTGACTACTTCAGCGATAGATATTAAGTTGAAGCAAGTTTTAGCTTTAATCGGACATCCATTCTCCACCTTGCTGATCATGTAGAACACCAGAGCTACACACACACACACACACACACACCGCGATTTCTTAAGATATTGATATTACTAGTAGATTATATACTTCACAACACAGTTTAAATCCATGTATAAGAGTGTTGTGTTGAATCATGTGTTTCTTAGCTAAAAAGATAAAAATTGCACGCAGCTTCAGCTATTATTATATTATTTTATTTTAACAAATCATTTGATTGGCTAATATGTGTCAGACAAAATCTAACTCACATTTTGCATGTATACCACCTGTACGTTCAATGTCCTGCAGCAGGTTTTATATATCCGCTAAATGTATGCATTTATTGGCTATAAATTCCTGGCAGAAATAGGATCTATTGTTGAAACTTGCATGGCATTTGTTGCTGTCACGAGTTGAGCATATCTAGCTACTCAAAGGCTACAAAAGCAACAGATACAATTTTTTTTTTTGGAAATCCGGGCTAGAAGCCCGAGAAAGAAACTATATTAAACGAGGAATGAGGAAGACTGGATCCAATAAGATTATAAGATTATAGTATAAAGTCAAAAATAATCTTGATGTGGATTCTAAATAATCCAATTATTTCTACTAATTAGATTTATAGTAAAATTATAATTTGCTAATCAATTTAGTGATGCGTTAGCCTCCTTGCTATAAGCTCTCGTATTTTCATAACTAGGGTATAATTTCTATCTACTTTAACGGTTAGTCTTGTAATTAGCTGTAATTAGCTGAACCATCAATGAAGAATCTAAAATAACTTGTTTAAGCGCAAAAGTTCAAGCTAGTTCCAAATCAGTGATAACAGCTAATAATTTTGCCTGAACAAATACCTATATTAATAGCAAAACCATTAGATCATGTACCCAAGTTGTCTCTTAGGATCTCTTCTACTCCAACGATTACTAAATTACCTTTGCTATAGCCAATCACATTTAATTTTATTCAGTTAATGAGAGAATACTGCTATCCTACATATTGCACTCATTTCTTTTGTTGCTACCTTGACCCGTAAGAGCAAAATAGTTATTGGCATCCCTTTGATACAATTGTTTTGTTGATTTGCTGTTGCTAGTTCTGAGAAAGAAAACCAATCTGCCAAAAAGCAAAAGAAGCATAAAACAAATGCAAGATGAATAATATCCCAGCAAAACCTCGAATTCATATGAACAATACATACTCACCAGTGCCTTGTTCTCTTAACATATTATTGAGACTTGTTTAGGAAGATTATTTGTAAGACTATATGAATATAAATGATCACTACACCCGAAGTACTGCATAATCACTTAACAATAGTAAATTTCAGGGCATAAGAATGATACTACCACCAGACAGCCTACGGAAGAATTATTAATTATGATGATGCTTTTTTTTTTTGTGATATGGAAAATGATATCACTGATGTTTTTATTTATTTATTGCTCTGTGATTTGAAAGTTTTGGGATTGTTTTATGCAATGGATGGTATATAATGGATGAACGTTGTTGCACCCGACATCGCGGCGGCCTTAAAATTTTTGATGGAATGGAAAGAATGGATTTCTGGCATCCTATTCTTTGATGGGGGAATGGTCTTTGTTTAAGGAGTCGCCACCTAGTATTATGGTTACTAGGAACCCTAACTGGTCAATAGAGATTCTATGGTTCGAGACTGGTTACGTAAAAGGGAAGATATCATCACCCCTTAAACGTCCTACCTAAGGCAGGCTGCATTGCTACTCTTTGTCTTTAATTGCTAATATTTTTTTTTGTTGGTTTATACTATGATTGTTTGTGTGTAATATTTCTGACTCTGGCACCAGTGAATATTCAACTACGGATATTTCCAACTCTGGCGTTGGTAAATATTGCGTAGGTATCAAAGTAAATAAATTTAAATCATTAATTGCTAATATTTTTTTTGTTTATACCATGATTGTTTATGTATAATATTCCTGACTCTGGCGTCAGTGAATATTCGACTACAGATATTTCTAACTCTGGCGTTAGTAAATATTACGTAGGTATCAAAGTGAACAAATCAAAGTCATCATTTTTTTTATTCCTGACTCTGGCGTCAATGAATAAAAAAAATAAAATCAGTTTATTATATTTTTTTTTAAAAAAAGTAAAAATAAAATATTTTTAAATCAGTATCTTTTATATTCCCGACTCTGGCGTCAATGAATAAAAAGATCAAATAGATTTTTTTTTATGCATGTATATCTTTATGTAACTAAGTAAAAGAAAAATACAATAAAATAAAATAAATTATTAACTTTATTCCTGACTCTGGCGTCAGTAAATAAACTTATAATTTTATTTTATATTATTTTATTTTTATTTTTTACCTACTTTTATTTTTACGAAATTAAACAAAGTTCAATGAAATAAATTTGAATCAATATTTTTATTTTTTGCTCTGGTTATTCATGAATAAAAACAAAAAATTCATTTTTTATTTTTTATTTACACATTCAGACTCTTTTTTTAATTTTTTAATTTTTAATTTTTTCTATTTTTTTTATATATTTTTTTTTTTGGCTGGGCCCAGCTCAGCATATATTTTATTTTAGTTTTTACCAACAGGCGTGCGTGAACTGCTCACGCACTTTTGCTACAGGAAGCATGTAATTAAAATGTAAGGAGGAAAAGAGCAACTTACCTGATGCTGCAACTAAAGATGATAATGATAGTGAAGGGCCGGCTTGATGCTATTTTCTCTTCCTCTGTTTTCCTCTTGGTGTCCCTCTAATCCTCCTTTTCTCTGTCCTTTTTTTTTCAAGCATACCTCTAGCAAACACAGTAACCAGTTAATTATTTTTGTAAGGAAGGAAGGAAACTTACCTAGGTGTGTGGCTGCTGAAGGCGAAGTCGAGGGAGACTGGGGAGAAAAAAGGATTAAGGGGCGGCGGCTAATATAGAGTTCGTCGCCCCCTTCTTTTTTATGTTTCTTTATGTTAAGGTTTCTGGTAATGGCCTCCTCTTAAGATTTTTTTCTTTTAGGGTTTCTCTCTAATCGTCTTCCTTCCTCTCTCTCTCTCTCCTTTTTTTGCTCTATTTTTCTAGGTTAATTCTCTATTCTCGGGTCTATCCTCCCCTCTTTTCTTTACCTTTGACATCTGTATTTATAGTGTCAGAGTCCCTTTGTGTGTGAGAAACCAAGTTTCAATCAAACTCATTCTCTTTTTTGAAGTTCGAATTCGAATCAAATTCAAAAGCAGACAACTATCATTATCTTGAGGATTATCTTGAACAAGGTAAGGATTATCTTGAAGTAGATAAGGATTATCTTGAAAAAGGTAAGAATTAGCTTGAAGGTAAGGATTATCTTGAAGAAGATAAGGATTATCTTGAGGATAAGGCTATAATGACAAAGGGACATTGTAATCCTTAATTTTTACAGAAGTTGACAAATCACACTTTTCATCGAAATAAATCTCTGATCTTTTAATTTTTCATTTTAAACCCTGTAAAAATTAAATTAAAATCCATTTGGCCAAAATTGGGTTATAACAAACGTGGTAGATTGTTTTAATTTTCTTTTTTTCAGGAATATAATCATTTGTTTTATATGAAATTTCAATGCAAAGCCATTTGGTGTGGGATCTTGCGATCTATTTAGATCACTTATAAAAAATTAGTTTTTAATGTTGCTGATATTGATTGGAATAAAATTTATAATTTAATTATTTATCATTTAATTTAATAACTTCGAGTTAAATTTTAAAATTTTATTTATATAAGTATTGATCAATTAAATGTTTAGATTATGTGTTGAGGTGGTTTAGCGCTTAGGATTAATAATTTTTTTATATTATAATTTTTTTTTAATAACACTAGCTAAGTCTTAATTATATTTTTCATAGAATACTATATATAAAAAAAATTAAGTCACTAGCACTCACATAATTCTTGTATATTTATTCAATTCAAGACACTATCATATGCTAGAAGATAACTTTTCAGGAAATTTAGCTAGCATATGATAGTGATTACATGCATAAATGCTGTGACGGACCAATAATGCAACATCCCTACCACCTGAAAACAAACTTACCAGACACTAAGATAATGAAAGATATTTTTCCTAGATGAACACAACAATATTGAAGGGTTTATGTATTACAAAATGGAAACATCATGGATTTATGGCCACTGAAAAGGGCACCAACAAATTAAAGCAAGCCGGTCCTACATTCAACACTTATTTGACAACCTAGCTAGGAGCACCCCTGACCTTGATCTCATTCACCCCCACCGCCGCTTCCAACTCCACCTCCGCCACCTCCTCCACCACTTCCACCTGCCCCGCCCCCCTCCTCCATAGCCCACCTCCTCCATAGCTGCCACCTCCAAAACCAAAACCACTTCCAAATCCACCCGATCCTCTGCCACCCCCGCCCACACTACTAGACTCACCATTATTTCCTCCACCACATTGATCTTGTCCACAATCAAAGTGCCCACCATTATCATCACAATTTCTACCACTCGCACCTCCAACCCCATTGCTTCCTTGACATCCACCGTAATCTGTATCGCAACCATCAACCCCACCGTATAACATATATACCACAGAGAGCAGGACAATGAAAAAATAACAGAATTGCTTCATATTTAATTTTTTTCTGATAGAAAATACTTTTTGGTTATGCTTGAAATCCAATTTCATTTATATAGAAAGCAAGCCACAAAGAAGGCACGTTAATCCATTATGTAGCTCATGTGAATCCGAAAAATGCTATGGGGTACCTGAATCTATCCCCCGTGAGGACAACTCGTGAAAAACTTCTGTCCTTGTTAGTGTTTTTATCCCATGCCATCAGGGACATAAAATCCAAGGTAAATTTGTGCATACATTACCTGCATGCAGTTTTCTACCTGCTACATGTAGGCGTCATCAATCTCAAGATCAGGGCAGTAAGGGCATGATGAACATGCATTCATACTCCCATAATGCCCTAACCTATGCTCTCCAATCTGAAGCGAATTAGAGGAAAAAAGCATTGCTTTAGTCATCCATGTAAAAGTAGAATCCACTTGCAAGAAGGATTAGTATATCCATGTAATTAATTCGTGCAAACTGAAGACTGTCGTCAACGCAATACAAGGGCGAAGAGGTCATATCATGATGTACTGCACAATGCAGGACCATACATGTCCACTGAATCAACGGGAACTTTCTCTATAAATACCAGCTTGTCAACTTGTTCCGCAGCAATTAATTACCTTTCTTGCCAATCTGTGTACCACGTGGTTTAGTGCTGCTTTTGGTTCAAAGCTGACCTAATTGAAAATCAAGAGCTTCGATGGACTGTCTTCATGTTAGGAGATCCAAACATTCAAACACACACAAATTTACGTGGTTCGGCAACTTGCCTACTCCACGGAGCTACTGGTTTGTATTAATCAAGCTCAAAAGCAATACAAACAACAAAACAAGGAGGAGGAGAAAACTTCTCAACTCAACTCAACTCTCACCCTTAGCTCTCTCTCTGTGTTTCTCTCTATCTCGTGGTCTATCTCAGCTATCAATACATCTTCTATTTATAGCTGAGGAGGGAGATGATTGTTCAACAATGGTGGGCAAGTTAGGCACCTACCATTTGACTATGACTTCAACCATGGCTGCCACCAAACATGGCTGCCACCTACCATGGCTGCCACCGGCCATTTGTGTCCACACACATAACAATCTCCCACTTGAACACAAATGGTGTTAGGTCTGTCTTTTAATCTTCAAGACCCACTGAAGCTTTACACAGCTTCAGTTTATCGAGAGTAACTCCTTTGGTTAACATGTCGGCTGGATTCTTGCTTCCACAGATCTTTTCAAGTAACAGTTGTTCATCGTCGAGCAATTGCCTGATGAAGTGATATTTGATCTGTATGTGCTTTGTTCTGGAGTGAAATGTTGGATTCTTGGCAAGGAAGATTGCATTCTGACTGTCACTATACAAAGTACCCTTTCCATGCATTTTGCCCAATTCTTGCAGGAAATTCTGTAGCCATACTATCTCTTTTGCGGACTCTGAAACTGCAACATATTCAGCTTCTGTCGTTGAAAGAGCAACTATCTTTTGCAAGGTAGAACTCCAAGAAACAGCAGTGCCTCCTAGAGTGTATATATAACCTGTAGTACTCTTTCTGCTATCAACATCTCCTGCTAGATCAGCATCTACAAAGCCTTCAAGTTTCAAACCGCCAGCTGTGAAAATAAGACATGTCTCCGATGAGCCTTTTAAGTACCTCATGATCCATTTCACTGCCTCCCAATGCTGCTTTCCAGGATTGCTCATATATCGGCTTACAACTCCCACTGCATGGGCAATATCTGGTCTAGTACAGACCATGGCATACATCAAAGAGCCGATAGCTGAGGCGTATGGAATGTGGTCCATGTATCCACGTTCTAGCTCAGTTTTTGGTGACTGGTCTCTACTGAGCTTGAAATGATTCCCTAGAGGTGTACATACTGGCTTAGCATTATCCATACTAAACCTGCTAAGAACCTTCTTGACATACTCTGCCTGTGAAAGCTTTAGTATGCCTTTGTCTTTGTCTCTGATGATTCTCATGCCAAGTATTTGTTTAGCAGCTCCCAGATCCTTCATTTCAAACTGTTTTGACAACTGTTGTTTTAGCTTGTCAATCTCTTCCATGCTGGAACCTGCAATTAACATATCATCCACATATAGCAGTAGAATGATATAGGAGTTGTCAAAATGTTTGACATAGCAACAATGATCAGCCTGACATTTTGTGTATCCCGTACTACACATGAAGTTATCAAACTTCTTGTACCACTGTCTTGGAGCTTGCTTCAAACCATATAGGCTCTTCTTTAGTTTGCAAACTTGACTCTCCTTTCATGGTATTACAAACCCCTCTGGTTGTTGCATGTAAATGTCTTCCTCCAATTCTCCATGAAGAAATGCTGTTTTTACATCTAATTGTTCAAGATGTAAATTTTCTGCAGCTACTATCCTCAGAACAACTCTGATTGTTGTAAGCTTCACAACTGGAGAAAATATCTCAGAATAGTCGATCCCCTTCTTTTGCTGAAACCCTTTTACAACAAGTCTTGCTTTGAACCGTTTGCTTCCGTCATGCTCGGTCTTTACTCTGTAGACCCACTTGTTTTGCAAGGCCTTCTTTCCTTCAGGCAGTTTGGTTAACTCCCAAGTCTTGTTCTTCAGCAATGACTCCATCTCGTCCTTCATGGCTAACTCCCACTTGCTCGAGTTTCCATCTTGTAAGGATTCTTCATAAGTTAATGGTTCACCACCATCGGTCAGCAAGATATAATTCAGTAGAAGTGTGAACCGTTGTGGAGGCTTTATAGTCCTTGAAGACCTGCGAACAGCTGGTTCACTTGGCTCTGCACTATCTTGTGTAGAAGTGGTGGGTACTGAAGTGCTTGAACTGTCTTGTATGGACTCTTGAGTGGTAACATCAGGAAGCCTTTCTAATTGTATGAATTCAGATTTCTGTGGACTCGTATCTGAATCAGTTATCTCTAGTTCTGTACTTGATTTGTCTTTGTACAAAACTTTCTCGTTGAAGATCACGTTCCTGCTTCTGATAATCTTCCTGTTTTGATCATCCCAGAACCGAAATCCAAATTCTTCATCTCCATAGCCAATAAAGAAACATTTCTTTGATTTGGCATCCAGCTTGTTGCGAGCATCAGAGTCTACATGCACATAGGAAACACACCCAAAGACTTTTAGGTGAGCAAGCTGTACTTCTTTTCCTCTCCAGACTTCCTCGGGCAGTCTGAACTCCAAAGGTACTGATGGTCCACGGTTGATCAAGTAAACTGCAGTATGAACTGCATCAGCCCAGAATGTTTGAGGTAGCCCAGAATGCAACCTCATGCTTCTAGCTCGTTCATTGATGGTCCGGTTCATCCGTTCAGCAATACCATTCTGTTGTGGTGTGCCTGGAACTGTCTTTTCCATTCTGATACCGTTGACAGCGCAATACTCCTTGAAACCTCCATCAATGTATTCTCCTCCATTATCAGATCGTAAGCATTTCAGCTTCAAACCTGATTCAGTCTCAACCATAGCCTTCCATTTCTTGAATGTGTCAAACACATCAGATTTATTTTTCAGAAAGTAGACCCATACCTTTCTGCTAAAGTCATCAATAAAAGTGACATAGTACCGAGAACCGCCAAGAGATGCTACTGGAGCTGGTCCCCATAAATCTGTGTGCACCAGTTCTAGTTTTCTTGGTCTTAAGGTCCTGCCAACCTTTAAGAAACTGAGCTTCTTCTGTTTTCCGAGAACACAGCTTTCACAAATGTCTAGATCAACATTTTTTAATTCTGGCAGCTTTCCCTTTGACTGAAGTATCTTCATCCCCTTTTGACTCATATGGCCGAGTCTACAATGCCATAGCTGCGCTTGATTATCTGTTTCAGTAGAGGCAATTATATCTGCTGATCTTGTGGTCATATACAGGGTGCCGGTTTTCTTTCCACGAGCCAAAACCATTGCTCCCTTTGATACCTTCCACATTCCTCCACAAAAAAGGATTGAATGACCACTATCATCAAGTTGTCCGACCGAGATTAGCTTCTTCTTTAGTCCAGGAACATGCCTTACATTTTGCAAGTTCCATATAGATCCATTCATTGTCTTGATTTGCACATCTCCTATACCCACAATATCCAATGGTTGTCCATCGGCCAGATAGACTACCCCATAATTTCCAGCAGTGTAATTTTGCATCATTTCATGGTGTGGAGTACAGTGAAATGAAGCTCCAGAATCAAGAACCCAATCATCAATAGAACTATGTACTGCAAGGATCAAAGCATCTTGTACCTCGTTTGTAGTGGCATTTACAGAATCAGCTTCAGGTTTCTTTGGTTTTGTGCAACTCCTCATAAAATGGTCAGGTTTGCCACAATTCCAACATTCAACCTGCTTCCTGGGTCCAAACTTGCTTTTGCTTCTGTACCTGGATTTTGATCTGCCTCTGGATAAGCCTCTGTCTTGTCTCCTTCCTCGAGTGTTGATGTTGAAAGCTGAACCTGAACTTGAGCTTTCACCCGAGTCTTTTCTTCGTACTTCTTCAGCTAAAATCAGGTCTCGGATATCATCATACTTTAATTTGGATTTTCCAGCTGAGTTGCTTACGGCTGTTCTCATACCTTCCCAACTGCTTGGAAGTGAAGCTAGCAAAATAAGTGCTCGGATCTCATCATCAAACTCAATTTCAACGGATGACAATTGATTTGTGATGGTGTTGAAATTATTAAGATGCTGTGTAACAGAGGTGCTTTCTGTCATCTTCAGGTTGAACAGCTTCTTCATCAAGTGCACTTTGTTATTTGCTGATGGCTTCTCATACATCCCAGACAAGGCTTCCATCAATCTTGCTGTGGATTTCTCTTTTGTAACATTATGAGCAACTCTTCTTGACAATGATAGCCGGATAATGCCCAAGACTTGTCTATCAAGTATTTGCCAATCTTCTTCTGACATGTTTTCTGGCTTGCTCCCCAACAGAGGAAGATGAAGTTTCTTCCCATATAGATAATCTTCAATTTGC